TTCCTCTCTTAATTTCAATCTCGATCGCGAAGATAACGAGGGAACGATAATAAAATCAGTTGGAACAACAAGGAACAATCGGGAGTCGTACGCGTGGACGGTCTAATTTGCAAAACAATCGGATTTACAGAACGTACGCAGCCGGGGTGTTGGACACGATACACGTATGGCAAACAAAGATTTCGAGGTTCATCCGTGCTCGCATTGTTTGCCGTCCAACAAGGCGGGCACGGGCATCGATTCTGACAACGTAGACTCAGGATGCCTCGATGTCCGCCCACGGTTTGTTTGCTCGTTTGTTGCGTATCCCGCTCGTTCAATTTTACCTAACAATAAGATCCGACAGGTTAGTGTTTGCCTTTCATTTACTCGCGATGAATATTTGTCGGTGTGGGGGCCCCTCGAGAGATTCGATTTATTCGATGAATTCTCTCGTTTATGGTGGTTGTCGTCGTGATATTAAGGATAGCGTTTAGGTTGTGACGATAATTTAACGATTGGATGGATCCAATGGCAAAAGTTTCGGCGAATTTCTAACGCGATCGTTATATATATATATATATATTAATAAACAAGATAGAACGTAGTTCGTGCGTGGAAAACTTTCACGTTTACCCAATATTTGAAACTTTGTGTTAGTACGAATTTTAAATTTGAATTGATAGATGAGGAAAGTTGTAGATAACGAGGAAATTGTCTATTGTAGAAAGGAGGAAAGTTCGTAATTATTCGTTAATTTCTAATAACGAATATCTTCGAATGAGATATATATTTGTTGCATATTTTTTACTTTTAAAGTAAAAAGTAAAAAGAAATCTCTGGTAATAGGATTTAATTTCAGAACGTGGATGCTTTATGAATAATAATTATAGCGATCTTTTCTTTTTTTTTTGAATTTAAAAAATAATTGAAATTGAAATTTTTAATCTTTCCCGTTGCACAGATTACAAAATTTTTCGCAGCCATTTTAATATTTAACGCGAACGAAATAATAACATGGCGAAATTTTCGTCGTATAACGGTTGATGTTCACCGATATTTAATATTCACAGGTGAATAAAAGATTATGATACGAGCCGCGAAACTTTGTCGCAGAATATAAAGGATCTTGCCCCTGACGGGCAACATTTCATACTTGCTAAACGTTCCACGTCGATATTTAATATTCATGAGCGTATGAAACACGTATAACTCTAAAAACGTCGAAACTTCTCCGTGAAGCGAGACGTTGATACACGATACCAAAATCGGATCGTTGATCAATATTCATAACCAGCGAGCAAGCGATGGTTTCTAATACAAATTTCGAGAATCTAATATAAATTTCGAATAAAATTTAATGCTGAACTTGGAATAATAACGATGATAACAACACGTGAATATATAAATAAAAAGAAGTTTGAAAAGTTTTTTTTTTTTTCCTTTTACAATTACACAAATAATAAAGCAAAAATTCTTCCGAGAAAATATATATTGCTAATTAAAATTTTCCTTGATAATTTTAGATTTCCCCAAATTTTTTATCTACGAAAAGAATTCAAGAAAAAAACTTCTCTAAAGGACAAGAGAATTGAATATAAATTTTTCTCCAACTCCAAAGAGAAGCTGTTCGTCGACCTTCTCTAATTAACAAGTTTATCATGGACATTCAGAGAGGGATCTAACTTCTGGTTGGTTGAATTGAACACGATTGCTCGTTACGAGAAGGCGACGTTCGTTTAATCCGATCATAACTATATAACGCGGCGAACAAACCCCTCGATCGATGGGAACACGATCGTAAAATGCAAATCGCGGTCGATAACGCAGGCAGGGATTGGCCGGCCGTATCCTCTCGCGACAAACAAATACCGGGTGGCATAGATAAACCGCACGTTCGAGATAGGACGCTGGTTGTTGGATATCGAGGTTGTAGGAGTATCGAGAATGGCGAAAAATATGGGGATATTGTTTCGATTATATTGAGCGAAAGATTTTGTTTTAGATAACAATTTGAAAGTTGGACGAGAGTATTGGAAATTGAATTCCTTTTCTATTTTTTTTTTTTTTACTGGATTCTGAAATTCTGAAAAAAAAAAAGTAGATTAAAATTGTAGATTGGATCTCTCTTAATTGAATTACAGAATTCGATAACACGGAAGATAATGGGAACGGGTATGATAAGCATAAGCGTGGCAGAAATATTTAAAAATCAGAGAATAAAATATGCAAATAAGGGAATGATGAATCGGTCACGGTCTGGATAAGAATCACGGCCAATTAAAATGGTAAATCGGTATCCATAAAGTTGGCCCGAATTAAATCAATAAATCGGAGATTATAAAATTACCATGTAAATTAATGTAGGAAATTAAAGATCGAGGAATAAGCGACGAGAACTGATGATGAATGAATTAAAATTTCGAGAGAAAAGGGATCATTTATATCTCGGTTCGAATTGACGCAACTCTAACCTGTAAAACAGAAAAGTAAAATAATATATCGCGGATAAGAGTCAACGAACGTTGAACAAAATCTCCGTTTAATCGGGGATAGAGATCTCGTTTTCCGTGAGAACGAAATACGAGGAAAACGGGGGAGAAAGGCGGAGAGACGGAAGGCAAAGCAGCGGAAATGGGGGAAAAATCCGAAGAACGGTAAAAGCGCACGGTAAGAGGGATCCAGCTGATAAAGAGAAACGCCGAACCGACGAGAATTTAGCCTCTTCTAGTTACATTTTTCTCTTCTTTTTAATTTTACCCACCAGCGACGAAAGTACTTGTGCGAGAGATCGAGATAATCGGAAATCGACAGCGACGGTCTCTTGATTTCTTTTTATAACCATCTCTTTTTTTTTTTCGATCGTCCGGAAAAGTGGAGCGTTTAACGACCAGAAGAAGAAGAAGAAGATAAAAAAGAAAAAGAAAGAAAAATTGTTTTTTTTCACGCCTCTCACGATTGTTCGTCTTTTTTTTTTTTTTTTTTTTTTTTTACGAGAGAAAGTTTCGAGATTGATTTTCTTTTTTTGCTTATTTACCTACACTTTGCCGGATTTTCGCATCGAAAATCATCGATCGATCGCTTTTCATGTATGGATTAATGGTAAACTCGTTTTTTTTCTTTTTTTTTTTCAAGATTATAAGCTTTAAACACAAGAGTTTTTCTTCTTTTCATATCGATGCAAAAAAAGAAAAAAGAAAAAGTTTAGAAAGAAAAAAAATAGGGTGATTGAAAATCGTAAACGTGGAAAATCGATCGATCAGATATTCTTCGTTCTTGGCCTCGAAGATGGAAAACTTCTTATTGTTAAAAAAAATCGTTTCTTATTCTTTTTCGATATATATGTATATATATATTCTTTTCAAATTATTAATATCATTTCTTCAAAATTTTATAAAATTTGCGATGTTTAAATTTACTCGTCGTTGTCATCGTGGCCAAGAATTCAATTTGGCGGGATTTTCAAAAGGTTTCAAAAGGAGAATTCTTTTGAAGAGCCCGCATCTTTTTTTCTCGACAGACAACGTCCAACTCATTCCTTGAATTTAGATAAGATTTCAGAAAGGAAAGAGAATCGAATCAATTCTAAATTTGGCGAACAATAATTTACCTTGAAATTGTGTAAAAATTTTCAAAATAATATTTCACGTCAGTTTCTCCATCGCCAAATTGACGAATTGAGGATTACTCGAGAAAGAAAACGGAATATAATTGCAAGTAGCTGTACATCGTTAAATTTATATAGATTTATTTCATTCCAAGTTTCCAAATTTTTCGTTGAAACGTTTATTTTTCAAAGTTTGAAGATAACTAAGAAAGAAAGAAAAACAAAAAGGAAGAAAATATAAATTAGCGATGCACAGCTGCAGTAATTTTCGCATTTGGCCGTTGATCGATGCGCAGAACCCCGGTTTATCCCTTTTTGTATCGAATTTCAACGAAAATGAAAATTGAGAGGCTGATACGGGGAGAAATTGCATTTGCCAGTTTGATTGCGCATCCATCAATGTCCTCGATCGCGAGATTCGTGCACGAGCCGCGAAATTGGCGTTGTTGGATCTTCAACCTATTCGAGTCAATGTCCATTTGCTTCCTTCCTCGTCGAAAGTAAAAAAAAAAAAAAAAAAAAAATAAAATATTTTCCTTCAATTTAGAAATTTAACATATCCGTGCAATCTTTCCTTATTTTTTAATAAGCATCTTCTCGAGTAAATTTTCTTTTAACTCTTGAGTAAATTTTTTTCGTTGAAATTTTTAAATCATCCGCGAGATTTATAATATGAAATTTTTTGAAACGACAAAGCTTTCGTTTTCTTCACGAAACAAATGGACGAGATGGAATTTTTATGTTTTTATTCGATACGGAAAGAAGCGGCGGCGCGAATCTCGCGATCGATCGAAAGAAATAAAATCGGTATGATATAGTCAGATGTAATCGAGAGATTGTTAATATTCCATTATTTATTTGACAGGTGAACAACGCGACAGCGAGGGTGCAGACGAAAAAACCACCGACGGTACCCAACGGTAGGTGCTTCAATCACGTTTTTCCTTTTTTTTTTTTCACATTTATAAATCTTCCTCGACACAAACGATATTCAAATAGCTTGGATATTTTCTATATACGTATGCATATATCGATTTTTTTTCTTTTTCCTAAAGCTAAAGCTTCTCTCTATCCTCCATTTTCTTTTTTATTTTTTTTTTTCTTTTTTTTTTGTTCTTCTTTTTTTCTTTTTCTTTTTTTTTTTTTTTTTTTTTTTTTTTTTTTTTTTTTTTTTTTTTTTTTTTTTTTTTTTTCTCCTCCATCCGCGTTATACAAGAATCGATGTTGAACAAGGTTACGACATTTTCGTTGCTCGCACGCTCTTTAGTTTCTCCTCTCCTCTCCTATTTTCCGGGGAAAGGTAAATATGCTGCGGGTGCTTCGCTTGGTTCAACGTTTATTCTAACTTAATTAATTAGCACGGGAATTCAGCTCCTTCAAACGCGTGAAATTTTGATGTCAAACTACATTGGGGAAACACTCGAGGCATTTGTCCCGTTTTCTCCACGGAATTCCGTCGAGATCGAAAGAAAATACGCGCCAATTGTTTATCCATTGCGTTTCCCTGTTTCGGATCCAGTGAAATTTTTTATATCCTTTCTCAATATTTTTTTTTTGTAGCTCATTTTAGTTTATTCCACTCTTAATCGTATTGAATTCGGTTTTCCTTCGTATTCCCCGATACTTTTCCCCGTGATTTAATTGTTAATATTTTTAAATCTTTTTGAATTTCGAGTTTAGTTTGTATTTAATTTTTCATATTGTAATAACGGTATCAAACCATTCGTTTATAGAAATTATTGGTTCCCATTTTTAGATTGAAAATTACAAAACAAATCGATATTTTTTTTTTTT